TTTTAATGGCTTAAATGTGAGAATACATAACACGCTTTTTTAACTGGCTTAAGTCATTTGCTGGATTTGTTAAAAGAAAACAAAAGAAGATAGGGTGTGCAAGTATAGATTATGGACCGAAATAGAACTAAGTCAACCTAAAACTCCTTTGCTATTTTATAAAGAAGCCAGCCCATGGATTAAGTCAGCCAAAAAAGACGTTCATGTTCTCTCACCTTTAGGTTATTTTCTACTAGCTTAAGTCATCGGCTTTCTTCTTCATAAAAGAAAAAAAAGGAAATCTAGGTTGAATATGCTAAGGTGAGAATACATAAAACTACCTTTACCATTAAATTTCGTCCCATAATTTATACTTTTTCACCCTACATTTCTTCGTTGTTTTACAGTAAAACAGGTCTTTATGTATGTCCTAAAGGTCAGAATACATAAAACGATTTTTTGACTGGCTTAAGTGACCGGCTGATTTCTTCGGAATAGAGCAAAGCAGCGTGGGGCAAAAAAGGAACTAAGTAAATCTAAGACTCCGAAGATGACGGTCTTAAGGGTGGATTCTTCGTAGAGGAACAAAGGGGGTTTAGCTTGACATAGTTCGATTTTGGCCCTACGCTTCTTTGTTCTTTTCCGAAGAAACCAGTCGTTGACATAAACAAGACAAAAAAGAGTTTTATGTACTGCCATATTAAGGCTTTAGCTTGATTTGAAACAACTGGTACATGACTGCATTTGCGATAAAAGAATATGGAAGGAGAACAATATAGGTAGACGCATCGAGACACCTGCTGGGACAATGAACTGTCAAACCAATTTTGGAATTGAAAATGTTGAATGAAAAATTATTTAAATTTGCAAATGATGAATGATGTCGTATAGGAAAACATGTAAAAATCTACTTATATTTGAAAAGACATTTAAATTTTTTTGACATATCAATGTTCCCAGGCGTTGATGTATCTACCTGTATTCTTGTGCCATAATAAGGAGTAAGGGTGGAAACACATAAAGCGCATATTTGGCTGGCTTAAGTCATCGGCTGGCTTCTTCGTAGAGGAACAAAGGAGTTTTAGGTTGAATTAGTTCGATTTTGGCCCTATGCTCCTTTGTTCATTTCCGAAGAAGCCAGCCGATGACTTAAGCCAGCCAGATAAGCGCTTTATGTATTCCCAGCTTAAGTACGACCTAATTAAAATTCGTCTGGAGCAATTTATTATTCTTTTACCAGAAAAAAACTTTCACACGAATATAATATTGCTTTTGTTTCTCTGCTTTAAACTTTATTTATACCGAAAACATTTTAATAAAAATTGTTATTTAGATTGTCACGTTCATTGTTTAAACGTCAAAAAACGACGTTCCTCTATAAAACGCGTAATTATGGCGTCGGTGTAAATTTGCCTCTTAATACCGTAATTTGATGCAAATTTTACTCGTTTTATTAATCATTTAATCGTCTTGCTTTTTATATACTTTGTTTAAAAGTATAATAAATCCACAAAAAATAAATCACATAATTTTATTATTAAAAAAATATATGAATAATAAACTATTAAAGCTGGTCATGGGGCCGTACTTTTTAGTAAATGTATGAAAACAAAACAAATAACTATTTTATTGCCCAAAAAATATATATTTACAATAAAACAGAAAAAAACTGCATTTAAATATACAAAACCATAAATTTGAAAAAAAACAGTAGTTAATTTTTTACAAGAGCTTGTTTTGTTGTTATATTTATTGGCTTTTTGTGTTAAACAAATAACAATAATCCCCCCAAAAAATAGTTAAATATTTTATATTGTAACAAAGAATGCAAGTAGAAAAAGTTATTTTATTTTCATTTATATTATTTTTATTAAAAATAAACAATTATGCTTTATATGGCTTTTAGTTGGTAGCGATTTTAAACATAGTCGTAATTAAAGCTTTATTTAAAACAACCATATAAACAGCTTAAATACACATCACAATAATGCGTTTTGGCTTTTTGTTACAAACCTACCGCATCGTGTACGCTTCAACACAGATACAGTTTTGTAAAAAAAATCTCTTTTTATTCTCTGGAGAAAATTCAATTAATTTCTTTATGTAAAACTTTTTCTATTTGCAGTTTTATCTAAGGATTACTCTACCAATATTAAAACACAACTACAGCCAAATAAATATACTACTTTATTTATATATATTTAAATGTTTTATATAAAAAAATATATTTTAAATATTTCAACATAATTGTCAAAAACAAAAAAAAGTTTGTTAAAACAAGGTAATTGTAATTGTAAAGCTTGGATTGTTTGAGCTTAATGACATACTGATTTGTTACAAAAAAATACTGGGAGAGGAGTTAATATTTATATTATTATCATTATTACTACTATTTAAAGATAAACAGATTACAAAGTTATATATGTATATTTATTAAATATAAGAGAACCAACAAAAAAATAAAAAGAACAAATGTCTTATTAAATTTTAACATGTGTTTAACATGTGTTTTATGTTCAAAGTGTAAACCAACTTTAAGGGTAGTTCACACTGAATGGTAAGTCGGATTGTTTTATGACTGAACGGAGTTGCTAACTTATAGGCAGGAAAAGGAGTCACAACCATGGAACATTAAAAATGCAAGGTAAAGCTTCCAGCTGATTACAATTCTTTTTCTAAGTGTGCCCGACTTCTGCCAATTTTGTGTATGTATTTATTGTTTTGAAAAACAAAAACACAATATTTTTAAAATCAATGATTGGAAGACGCGTAAATTGTCATACGCTCATTAAAGCTATTCGGCAATTTTGTCATGGAATTGAAAGATAGAACTGTTTAGATTATAAAGAAGAAAATAAAGAAGGTCCGAGCATTTCATTCACTTTCCCGCTGTTAACTGATTTTAAAAATGAGGAAAAATATTGAATAAATGAAAACAACTTGTTGCAAGCAAATATGACAGGAAGCAGGCATAGCCTCAGGGCTGTATTTCTGTAGTTTTACGAAACTGTTCTACCTCCTTTTTGTACCAGGGTATTACCCATTACAAACTTCAAATACGAAATTTAATACAATTCCGCTGAATGATGTAGCTAAAATCTTCAAAAACCCAAATACCAGGAGGCATATTACAACTTGTTTTGACTATTTTACAGCTTTATTTCAAAGTTTTTTTTTATAATATCCACCATACATAGTTTGGAGGGTATATTAAGTTCGTCATTCGGTTTGTAACTCAACGAAATAATAATTTTAGACATAACTAAGTATATATTCTTGATCAGCGTAAAATTCTAAGACGAATTAGGCCTGTCCATCCGTCCTCCCGTCCGTTTGTTGTAATCACGCTAGAGTCTAAACGAATAAAGATAGGAAGCTAAAATTTTGCACAGATCAGTTTTTTGCAGGCAGATCAAGATCAAAGATGGGCTATATCGGTTCACGATATCGTATAGTCCCCATATAACGGAACCCTGGAATTTTGATGACTGTCTCTACGAAGAAGCCAGCCGATCACGTAAGCCAGACAAAGAAGCGTTTCATGTATTCTCATCTTCACTGATTTTTTACTTGTTTTTGTTTTTTAACTGGGGAAAAATATAAATAGAGTTTTAGTTTGCTCAACCAAATTGAATTGAAGACAAAGAGGTAATATTGTTGCCAAATTCCAAGATGTACTTCCCATTATAGTCGAAAACATAAATGACTTATGTCAGTCATCGGCGGGCTTCTTTGTAAAAGATCGAAGGAGCGTGGGGCCAAAATCGAACTAAGTCAACCTAAAATTCATTTGTTCCTCTACGAAGAAGTCAGCTGGTGACTTAAGCCAACCAAAAAAGCTTTTTTTTGTATTCTCACCTTACTAAAGAAGCCTTTTTTATACTTTCTCACCTTTATGTATATACACTAATCAGAGATGAAAAACTATTTTCTATATAGTTACATTTAAATGTTTTTTTTTAGGAAATGAGATTAACTACTTAATTGTACAAGTGTTACAAATAAATGTGTTAAGCTGTTATCAAACTATAAAGGTTTAATATATATGTCACGACAGGTGTATTTCCGTGTGTATGTCAAAATTACCATTTTATATGTGACTCATAGTTCTCGGTATCACACACTTGCATATGATTCTCTATTTCCTTTGGTTACATTGTGATTATATTTTATATAATTTTTTACCGCAAATTTTAATTTTATATATTTCACACAACAAACAATCGACACTTTTGATTAAATTATATTTTTCCGATGAAAATAGGAGTGAAATGTAGTCCATGTCCATGATGTGTGCAATTTCTACATATGGGAAATTTGACACTACATATGTAAAACCCTTATCGTTTGATTACATGCGATTGAGATAATTTTAAAATAATAAAGTTCACAACTATTTGAGCCAGGAAAAGTGCTGCCAGAATCAAGTTTGTATTGATTTGACTTATCGGAGAAGTGACGTAATATAAAATGCATCCCTGTGTCTGCGAGTAGGTGTTCTTAGATCGAGTTTACACAAATTTCTTTTCCGGCCAAAAATGGTGCCTTAAAGTGACCTCGGTTTCAAGTGTTAAAAAAATGCAAATAATAAAATAATTTATTTCAAATAAACGTTATATTGCGGTCTCTATTTATCCTTCGAAGTTCACTTGAAGGTCTTAAAGAAAGAGAACTTTAATAGAACTTTAATAGTTTTATATCCATAGGAGACCTCCACAAGGTCTCCTACGTCTTTGGAAAGTCATATGGTGGGGATATATTAAAGACTTTTTTGACCATAATTGAACTGAATCAACCTAAAACTTCTTTGTTTAGTTGAGAATAAATAAATCGCCTTTTTTGACTGGCTTCTTCTTCGGAAAAGAACAAAGGATCCTAGGACCAAAATCAAACTAAGTCAACCTAAAACTCCGTTTTCCCTACGAAAAAACCAACCGATGACTTGAACCCTTAAAAAGCCTTCTATGCATTTGCACCTTTATTTCGACGAAAAACCTCTGCAGAATATCTAGAAAAAAAACTTGCATTCTCCAACTTTATTTATCTCTCTTTTACAATTTCGAATTTTTATGTATGGCCAGAACACCATCATCTTCACCGGCTCCTATTTTAATTTGGGCATAACCCAACAATTCAACTTCCACCGATTTGCCCGTACAGCGACCATTAACTTTAGCACCAGAAATAACATCACAATAGGTGCCGGGCGCCAAGCAGGTCATCAAACGTTCATCCAAATCATACGAATTGCCATTGAAGGCTACAAAAGCTCTGTCGCCACGACAGAAGGCAATTTGATTATCGCCATTATCCCACCAATCATTGAGGCCTGCATCACCGGCCACATTTTTGAATTCAATCATATTGTAGATCTGGCGCCAACGATGTTCGCACACCCAACCATTGGTACAGGCACCCGTGGTGGCATCAAATACCGGCGAAATAATAACACCATCAGCTGTCTGTGGTGGTGGCTGGTCACGATCGCTGAAATCGAACGAAGACATGACACGACTAATGCCATAAGGATAGGCCAATCCAAAGGCAGTAGCCATTTTATATTGTTTCGGTTGTTTGTATGTCAGAACATGGCCGCCATCGCGCTGATTGTCATGATTGTCGACAAATACCAAAGCATGCTCACTGGGCAGGAAGCCCCATTCTGGACCCCATGTTACCAACCATTTCAGTTGATTTCCACCTCGGAAGGCACGTCCAATTTCTTCGGAAAATCTAAACTCTGTCACGGCGCCCAATTGATTGTATTCATATTTGCTGATGGTCTCATGGCCATGATCAATAACCTCCTGGTAGATGAAAGGACGGGCATTGGCAGCAAAACCATGATTGGTGTTCAAATTGCGTACACGATTGTAAATGATCTGGAAAAAGAAGGGAAAGCAAGTTTATAAGTAGGTAAAAAATTACAAAATTGAAGAAGTGCTTCCAAAAAGTGCTTGATCAGACCTACATAACACCTTATTTTAAGTATAGAAGTTCTTTAGAATATCTTCTTTTAGAGAAACATAGGTGATTTTTAAGGTGCAGATACGAAGAAGAATTATTTTACTGCCTTCAGGCTCTATCAGACGAAACGTTTTTTACATATGTAGTGTCAAATGTTTTCATACGTAGAAGTTGCACACATCGTGTGATGCATGTACTAATTTTCAGTTCTGAAATACATGAGCAAAGTACATATGTACTTTTTCGATTACAGCGAGCCCTATTTTCATCTGAAAAGTATAATTTATTGTTGTGTGCATGGTACAATAAGGAGGTAGAACACCTTCGTAAAATTACATAAATACAGCCCTGAGGCTATGCCCGCTTCAATATTTAATAAAGAACTCCTGAGGGCACTATATCTCTATGAAAACACGTTTCTTTCTCCCCTTACCTTCAAATCATCAGCCCTCATGTGCTTGGCAGCATCGACACGGAAACCAGCAACACCCAACTCCACCAAATGATCCAAAAACTCAACCAAACGGTCACGGACCCATTCTTTGCTCTGATCCAAATCCTTGAGGCCAACCAATTCACAGTTTTGCACCTGATAGCGATCATTCCAGTCCCAAATGTCACAGGTTTCATGGAAATCCATGCCTGAATAGGGTACAGCAGGATACACCTTCAAACCGGGTTCAGATAGTGAGCCAGCAGTGCCCGTAGCAGTTTGTCCTTGATCGGCAGCCATGTGATTTAGAATGACATCAACATAAATTCGAATACCAACAGCATTACAGCGACGACACATATCGGCGAATTCTTGTTCGTTACCGGAACGTGTGATCAGCTTGTAGGACAACGGTTGATAACGTTCCCACCACGGGCGATTGTGAACGATGACGTTTTCCGACACAGGAGAAACCTGGACGCCAGCAAATCCATGCGGAGCCAGGAATTCTTCACATTCTCGGGCAATATCATTCCATTTCCATTCGAAGAGATGTACAATTGTATTGCGGCCACTCCACCAGTGAGGATTATGTTGGGCATCGACATTGCCCCACGACAATGCCATGTAAAGAGCCACAAAGGCCCACACGGCTTTAAACTTGAACATGTTGTTCCAAAACGTTACTGCACAATTGTACGATTTTAAAATGATTAAACTATTCTATTTGCGATTTATGGCAATTTATAGCTTTCGATTTTGCAGATTTGAAAACATTTTTTACGTGTGTATAAATCGCTGTGGCCCATTATTATCTCTGCGTAATGTGATAAGATGAAAAGGGGATTTTCATGTCATTTTTTGTTTTTGCATTCTTTCAATGCGATTTAAGTTCAATACTGGCAGCAGGTCCCAATAGCTTATCTCTTATCGCGCTTTCTTCTGTTATAAATCTCTTCGGTGGCCAGCCTTTCATATGGAACAGCTGTTTTGTTTTACGACTCCGAATTACGTATAAATAATTAAAAACTAACACTAATTTGATTTAAATTAACACTATATATTTAAGTGATATCAAAAGTTATTGAAGCGAAGAATCTAAAGATATAACTGAATAGTGGAAAAAATATAAACAGAATGAGCAAAAGAAAAAAGTGGCGGAAAAATGGTTTGTGTCTATACCATCTAGGATAACAGCTCATGACATTTATCAAAAAAAAAGACAAATAAAAGTTCGAAAGATCCATAAATATGATTTCAAAATTCTATTCCATAGAGTTTCTCAATTAATTACATATTGCCTTAGCGGTTTAAATCGCTTAACATTGGTAACTATGTTGTTATGATATCATAACAACAGTGGTATTTTCACAGGGTTGCCATATTTTGACTCTGCCATCTTTATGCTTCTATGTCTTTGTCTGTTGTTACGATATCATAAAAACATAGTTACCAATGTTAACTGATTTAAAACGCTATGGCAATATGCAAATTTTTGGAAAGGTCTATGGAATAGAATATTGCAACCAAAATTTTGGACTTTTCAAGTTTCTATTTGTCGTTCGTTTCTATAATTGTGGTTTTTATATTAACATGTTACTGTCATGAGGTGTTACTTTATATATTGCAGACACAAACCATTTGCTCAAAATGCATTTTGTCCAGTCTTTGCCATTTTAGGTCTTTGAGTGGATATCGTTAGAGCACTCCAGCATTTAAATGTGAATAAATCTTTTGTGTCTCGTACCATCGCTCGTTACCGTGATACTGGTAGCATAGCCTGACGTCAAGGAAGTGGGAAGTGGACGGAAGAAAACAGCAACATCAGCAGAAATGGTTCGAAAAATAAAGAAGCGACTTGATCGAACCCCACGTCGCAGTGGCCGAAAAATGGCTCGTGAGCTGAATATATCGCAATATTCCATTCGGCAAATATTGAAACATGAGCTCGGGGTAAAGCCATTGAAATTCCAAAAAGTGGAAGTTCTTGTACACCGCAACAGAAAGAAAATAGACTCAAAAGAGCTAAAGAGTTGCTTCGCTTGGCCGAAAGTGGTGAACTGCCGAATTTGGTTTTTCCGATTAGAAAACATTCGTTGTCCAGCAGTTTGTAAACTAACAAAATGATCGTGTTTACTTGCCAAAGAGATCAGCTGAAGATGTGCAACTTCGGTTGACCACCAGTTGGTTGGGCCGCCATAACAGCCGATGGTCGCTCTCCGCTCGTATTAATCGACCGTGGCATCAGAATAAATGCAGAATATTATCGTGTAAATATTCTGGAGGGTGTACTAAAGCCTTGGACACGCATACATTTTGGCTGCAGACCTTGGACATTCCAACAGAACTCAGCAACATCGCAATCAGCACGCGTCACCAAGGAATGATTACAAAATGAAGTTCCTCGCTTCATTTTCAGCGCACAATGGCCACCAAAATCTCCGTATACCAATCCGGTGGACTATTGTGTCTGGAGTATTTTGGAAAGGAAGGTTGGCACTAAAAAATACCAAAGTGTCGATCACCTCAAGCAAACGCTTCCCCGGGAATGGGCCAAATTACCGCAAAGCAACATTCGGGCAGCATATGACGGTTTTATTGTCCGTTTGAAGGTCATAATTCGTGCCAAAGATGACCAACTCGAACAAATCTAAACTTATTCTAAAATTTCATGCTATTTCCGACATTTTTTGCTTTCATTCAATAAAATTTAAAAAAAAAATGTAAAAATTATGACGTTTGACTTTGTTGCAGTTTTTGAATCTCACCCTGTACAGTTGTGTATGTTATTTCAATCTCATTTCAGAATAAAGGCGTCAAAAAAGTTGCAAGAATTCAATAGAAGTGCAGTATTAGTGGAGGAGATCCAGAAGCTCATATAAGGAAAAGAAAGCGTCTAGGCATCAAAGCAACAAGAGGCAGTGACAGCTGGGATGACCATCAATAAATGAAATGTTAAAAATTATTTAAAAAAAAATGAAAAAATAGTATTAAAAATACAATTTCAATTCAATTTAATTTTTTTGAGTCTTTGTTTTTTTTTAACATGAAAATTTACAATTTTGAAGTGATGAAAAAAATGCTTAAAACTATAATGTTTTGTTTTAATGACTAAAGCGTATTTTTACAGGCATTATCATTGTTTTCTTCGGTAATGACTTGCTATAAAGAAGTTTTCTAAATGACCCCTTAATACCATATGCCTTACCTAAGTAGCCTCGCGCATTTGCATTAAATTTGAATAATTTGTTGTATCAAATACCCAAATATTTAAATCTATCTCTAAATGGTATTTCTACTCCATTCAGAGACAACTCCAAGGACTTGCTTTCTGGTACAACTGAAGCGTTCCTCAAACACATAGCCTTGCTCTTAGAAGTATTGATTTTTATACCTCAATCAGTATAGAGAGCATTAACTGTATTCAAATCGCAATAATACAATAATTTGAAGCTATTTCAAATTCGGTTGTAAAATAAATGCAAATTTTCGAAGAAATGGGTAACAAGTGGTACAATTTTGTGATTCAATCTAGTGGAATAACCCCCAAAAACCATTCTTGTTTCGCCAGTTTTCACAAATATACAAATTTTGCTTAAAAAAAAAAAAAGTAAAAAAGCAGCTAAGTTCGGCCGGGTCGTTCATACCCTCCACCAATTCGAAGGAAACTGAAAAATTTAAAAAAAAAAAACTACCACTTAAATGAAAACCATTATATAAGGTCTATACGAAGACGTGGACCTGCATACGAAATTTTTTGTCATAGGCTGTAGTACCCATTACGAACTTCAAATACGAAATAATTCCGGTAAATAATGTCGCTAAAATCATGAAAATACCCAATATCGGGAAATACCGCTATATGGGGGTCTATACGAAGATCTGAACATGCAAACAAAACTTTCGAAAGATATCGTGATTACAACAGACAGACAGACATCGCTAAATCGACTAAGAATTTTACGCTGATCAAGAATATATAAACTTGGTTGGGTCTGACATGAATATTTCGAGGAGTTACAAACGGAATGACAGAGTTAATATATCCTCCATTTTATGGTGGAAAGTATAGCAATAGCAAGGCAGATTAATTCATTTACCATAAGACGTTACAATTTTAAACGTTCAAGCAAGTCTTTGTTTATGGGACCACAACTTCAATCATCTCTGTTTGCCATTACACCCCCAAAACACGCAGGTCAATTTGTTTCCTTTTCTTAATAAAAAAATCTTAAATGCGATGCTTACAAAATCATTAAACATTATCTTTGGAAAGCATGATTTCCGAAAGGTTTAAATTACAATGCCCTAATTGTTCATAAAAATATACACAAAAAAATATTAACATTAATAAAAAATAAAATAAAAATAGTTATTTGCCGAAACCCGGGATTGAACCGGGGACCTTTAGATCTTCAGTCTAACGCTCTCCCAACTGAGCTATTTCGGCGCATGCCTTATTCCCATCGACTTACACATACAAACAAATACCAATCACAATACAATGAAAAACACAATACACCGCCTAGAACTATGCAATGAAATTTGATATTTTATACACACTATTTTGTGGATATCCATTCACAATAACCGGGGAATATTATTGGTTACAGTAAGAAAGCAGAAACAAAAATAATTGTATCTGCCGAAACCCGGGATTGAACCGGGGACCTTTAGATCTTCAGTCTAACGCTCTCCCAACTGAGCTATTTCGGCACATGGTTACCAGGTTAGGCATGAACTAAACGAAATAGCGGAAATATGACAAAATAAAAAGATCGTTCGTAGAATTAAGAAATTAAAGTCAAGCTATCATAGGAACATGTTTTCTATGCAGTGAATAGCTTTATTTTATGTCCCTTCATTGTCAAATTTATATTTTGTAGTTCTTTAAATATGAGCGTACAGCTGGTAGGAAGTTTACATTTATATTCGACCAAATATTTTTTTTATTTTCACGCTTTTTAGAGGCTGCGAAGGTCAAGGAAGAATATAATCTGAAACAGAAAACTAAAATATTAGTCTGAAAAGTCATGTAAGACCTAATTATGGCATAGTTGATTAAGACGCGCTTTGTTTGCTACAATACTCGTAAAATATTGTCAGACCTCATTTTCACTCGAATTTGTATTAAATTCATCACAAGAAATTGTCCGCGTAAGTTTTCGTTTTAGTACGGATTGCATATAGCAAATATTGTGAAAATTTTGGCATCATTTTCAGCTGGTAATTCTTGGGTTTTTTATCCTTGAAGTCGGACCTAAAGTGAAAGGTCATTCGAGGCCTACACAAGAACTAAGCCGAAAACGTATCCTTAAGTTGAAAGGATTGAAATCTCTATCTTTATATGTTTAAGTCCAAGAACACATAAATAAACTTGGTATACCTAAGATATTGAACCTATAACTATTTTTACGCACAAAGAACGCCGAACATAAAGCTGGGAATACATAAAGCGCTTATTTGGCTGGCTTAAGTCATCGGCTGGCTTCTTCGGAAATGAACAAAGGAGCCTAGGGTCAAAATCGAACTAAGTCAACCTAAAACTCCTTTGTTCCTCTACGAAGAAGCCAGCCGATGACTTAAACCAGTCAAATAAGCGCTTTATGTATTCACAGCTTAAACGATTATTTATTTTTTTTTTTTTTGTAAAATCTGCCACTCGTCTTACGAAAATATTTTAGATTTGCAAAAATTAGTTTTATTTGAAAAATGACAAGGTCGAGTTTGTCAGAAAAGGGTTGTCATATACAATTTAGAAAATGAGTTTACCTTTATTGTTTTGCCATGGTACTAGCTTTGATCAACATATGTCGTCTATATGTGTGTCCGTCTGTGGAAATCACTCAGGCTTCCAAATGAAATAAAGGAGGTTGATAAAATTTTATTCAGATGTCTGCAGTATTGAAAATGTTCTATATAGGTGCACGTTTTGGTATAGCCCCATATAACTGTACCGACAGATTTAAGGTTTTGGTATGTTATATTCACAATTTTAGCCCGAATTTGCTGTAAATAAGCAGCAAGTGCTCCCATTATGTAAGAAACGTCCTTGCATAGAACTGTCATTGTAGGTCTAAGTTTTGATATAGTTTCCATATGACTGTACCTCCAAATATTCGGCATTTTGATGATTTTTGTCAAACTTTTGACCGGAATATTTCAAATTTGGAATTAGAAGTTCCTAATAGATTCTAGATTCTATGCGGAAAATTGTTCATAGAGGTCTAAATCTGCGTATAGCCCCCGTCTTCAGTTCCTCCCTATATTCAGTATTTTGACGATCTTAGCGACACATTGTATAAAAATTCACCGGAATTGTATAAAATTTTGTATTTAAATTTCCTAATGGCTTTTACAGCCTACGACCGAAAATTGTATATGCAAGTCCAGGTCTACATATAGGCCGCATATAACGGTATTTCCCTATATTCGGTATTTTGTTGATTTTAGCTACATTATTCACCGGAATTGTATCAAAATTCGTATTTGAAGTTCGTAATGGGAACTACCATCTGGAATTGTTTCGAGGTTGTTACTTAAATATCGTTAAGTTAAATATCAAAAAAGCATTTTATGTACTCTCACCTTTATTTAAAAAAAAAATAAGCATATGATTGCATGACTTTAACTTCTTTATTCTACCATTGGAGTTATCGTTACATTGGGACCTATACGAAGACGTGGAGCTGCATATGCAAGTTTTGCCATAGGCCATTACGATATTTTCGTACCAAACTTGTAAGAATTCCAGTGAATACTGTTACCAAAATCATCAAAATACCGAATATAGGGAGGTACCGTTAAATGGGGGCTATATGAAGATTTGCGTCGTATAATAAAATATATATAGATCTATTTATATATGAAAAAACATTTTAACATTTTTGATATATGTTCCCAATGTTCCCAAGCGTTGATGCATCTACCTGTATTCTTCTACCATGCAAGAACTACAGGAACTGGGCAAGCAAATGATTTGGGTACTGTTTTGAAACAGTCAGTCAGTAAATTAAAATTTAATTACTCGATGCTGAGTACTACCATGATAAAATTAAGAAGGTAAATTCATTATTAATAAGCATATTAATCTCTGCATTTTCTATGATTTACCTTGTAAAGTTTCACTGCATAGAAAACAGGTTGCCATCTCTGATTTGTGTATGTATAACGGATTTACAAGTATAAATGTTCCATGGCACAACTAGAAAGATAGTTTAACGTCAAAATACAACTCTGTACTGAAAAGTAAATAGACTTTTAAGCTATGCAACAATTATTTTTGTTTATTTCGAAAAAAATTTCACCAAATTCGTATATTAGAACGTTGAAATTCGCATGAATAGAATGTTGAAATTGAATCCAACGTGGAAGGACAATTTCTTTTATCCGGAAATTATAATCCCAATAAGGGTGGGAATACATAAAGCGCATATTTGGCTGGCTTAAGTCATAGGCCTTAAATATGAATTTTTATTACCACTGGATCATGGTAGAATAATCCAGGTAACAGAAAGTGTTGTTGTACAGCAAAAGTGTAAACAAAACAATTAATTTTAAATAAATTAGTTTTATTTGAAAAATGTATCTTTTTTGGAATTTGCAATTTTAAATTGAAAATGCAGAGGAATATTTCTTAAAATATTAATTTTAATGCTGCCATACCATTCCCCTGAATGTATTGATGTTAGCTGTAGGTCCGAATCTCTTAATACTTGAAGCAATTGTTAGAAAATCGAGAAAAAAAAACAACATCCCTTTCAAATTGAAACCAAACTGCATATATACATTAAGTATTCAACATTTTGCAATTTCAGGAAACATGAAATATACGACTATATTACCCATGGCATAATTACTGAAGATAGATCAAAACTACCCCCTGAATACAATTTTTTTCTTTTGGTGGCCTTATTCTGTCAAAACATATGCACATTTTGCACACGTACGCAAATTGTTTTTAATAATTTTTTTTATCGTTTTGAATATAAATAAATACTAATTTTCGACGTAAATAGGTAACAAATTGTATAAATTTGTGATAAAACTGTATTTTCCTACTATTTTATTCGCGGATTTTCCCCAATATAAAGTTGATTATGAGTTAAACAGAGCGAAAATTAAATTAAATGCCTAAATTTAATTTCAAATCTTTCTTTCTTCTTCATCCAATCATTGATTTTGGGTATAGTTTGTTTTATTTATTTTACACAAAATTGACAGAAGTCGGGCACGCTTAGAAAAAAATTTGTAATCGGTTGGTAGTTATACCTTCCCTGTTTATTGTATCATACCTTCTGTCATTGTTAGAATTTTAACAACTGTGGCAACTTTGCACCCAAAGCACAGCCCGCCGCCGTCGTTTGCTTCACACATGATAAGCCGCCGACGCCTCCGAAAAAAATCGTTCCGCTTCGTTGTCTGCACACAACTCTAATAAACATTTATTTTATTTTAGAAAAATAGAAAATGCATAATCTTTTTAAAAACAATACAAATTATCAGCAACGTCACGTAATTTCTACCATTTTCTAAACGGCCGATATAAAAGTGCAAACCCAATTCGGAAGATATTGCGGAGTTTTTGTTAGTTGCAATTGTTTTACTTAGTTTCTGTTTCGTGTGGTGTGTGAGTGAAGTCTGTTGTCTTGTGTGGATAAATACTCTTGAATAGAAAAGGAGTGGGAAAGGGGTAGACGAAGCGACGTTTTAATAGACGTCGTCAGTAATAACAAGAAGAAAACAAGGAAAAACGTTGCTGCTGCTACAGTTCCAAAAGCCGTCTATTGTCATATCTTGTATCTGCTGCCGCTGTTGTTGTTGTTTTTGTTGTGTGTGAGACAACAACGGGACGACGTCAGCTCTGCTCTGCCAACAAACAAAACAAAAAGGAAATTCGTGTTCAAGTGGACTTCTTTGCATGCAAAGGAGGAGTATTTAGCCGATTGTGTGACCGGTACACATTCACATTTTTCCTTTGCGCTATATTGTTGCTTTCATTCATTCTTGTTGCTGCCGCTTCTTTGCTGCATTGTTGTCTACGGCCGACTTCATCATGGTCGACAATATATCGTCCATGATCAATCACAATGTCCTGGAGGTTATATTTTCATATTTGGATTTAGCTGATATACGGAATTGTGCCCTCGTCTGCCGCAGTTGGAAACACTTTCTGGACGATGAAAACAGCGATGTTTGGCGTTCACATTGTATTCGAAAGTTGCCCGAAGAAGCCTTGAAATCCGATCTAATGTCATCGGTGCCCACATACAAAATGAAACTGCGGGCATACTATCACGCATGGAATCCAAATGATTGTTCACGAAATGTATATATTAAACCAAATGGTTTTACGTTACACAGGTGAGTCGCATTCCGAGTGTTGTAATGAAACATATAATGCACATTTATTCAGATTTATACATTTCAGAAAAATACAACTTTTCAAAGGGTTCAAAATTCCCTACAATGACCATATGTGATAAATTATATAATCTCTCAGTTACGCCAACACAATTCAAACAAGTCACTTATTTCAGTGAAGCAAGTCGTTATCTCTCGAATACGAATATTAGTTAAGATACCGCCAATGTGTCACATCATTATAAATTTTACAAAAGAAGAAATGCTGACAGAACTATCTGTCACTACTATTAAATGGGTAATGGATACTTTCAACTAAAAAAGGTCCTTGATCAAAATAGCAACCAATTTGACATTTGGAAAAATGTATAGTTTTGCGAAAGTACGTGTTTCCACGTTTTGGTAAACGTTTTGAGTCACAATTTTCAAGAGACATCCATTGAAAAGAGCTGATAGATATTATAGTTGGGGAATTTATTTGTTTATATAGTAACCTGCACACAAAGCCTTTAGGCAGCTTAAAGTGAATACAATATGCCTTACAAAGTGAATCCAATTCAGAAATGTTCAAATAACAAATATTTTTAGAATTGTAAGCAACCGTTTCTAACATTGACTAATTATGGCTGTTTTGGCGGATATTGTTTATTTAGAAGATTTTAACCCCAAATAAGAAAATCTATTAGAATTGGTCATTTTATGGCTAAATTATTTCTGGTATTTTTAATAATTGACAATTGCAAACGTTTCTAATGAATTCTTCATTTGTTTCCTAGTGGGTGAAAAAAAACTACGTTGAATAATGTAACAAAAAGGAACCACATTTATTTTCGATTGAGTCCGTGGGTTACTCTCCATGTTAAATGTATCTACAGATTAGTACCGTCTGCTCAGCAGTCATCGAGCCGTTTCTTGGTTACACACACTTTAATTGCTTGTATGAGGAGATCAATACGCGGTCTGGAATCACAAGAAACATTTGGAGGTATAAAATTTTCTGTCGATGAATATGTCGTGGAAAATTGTAGGCCTCAGATATATTTTGAGATCATCTGAATCTTCATTGTCCCTTCAAGCTTGACGTCTCTTCAATGATGTTACGAATTCCAGGCAATTTTTTATACCCTCAGCCATAGAGGGTATATATCATTTGATAAAATGCGAAATTTACATTCGATTCCATTCAGATTTGCTACATCTCAATATTTTCATAAACACAAGATCTGTAATAAAGATGGTAGAGATCGAACCATCTCTTCTGGTACCTCACTCAAATTGTGTTTAAGACTTTTGAAAAACAAAACACTCAAAGAAAACCCAATAATTATCCAACTCTCTTCAACTTTCTGAGAACCCCTTCTGGTACCTCACCCACAAAGGGTCACAATTTCCAATACTTATATCGTCATAACTTGCGAAACAAGTCGACGATTCTTTACATCTTGCTATTTCTAAATTTTTCTCTTCACCAGAAACCTGCAATGAATATTAAATTTATGATTTCGCATAAAATTGGATATGAATGTTTCGATTTTCTTGTAATTTTGCCCATACCAATATTTTTATCTGTATTAGACGAAGTATGAAAATGGAATACATCGGTCGACTATGTCTGGTACCTTACGCACATTATAAAATTTTCTAATAATTATCACATATCTCATACAAAGTGAAGGAATGTGGTCCAAACCTGGCACGTCAACATATTTATATCTTATTTATTTAGGTCCGAGACGATATGGACAATATTGGCCTATTCCTTCGGAACCTTCTCCATAGAGGGTCAACAATTTGAATAATCGCAACAGAAGTCAACATATATTTATATAATCGTACATTGGCTGAGGGTATACATCTGTTGGCAAAACCAACTGATACTTTTAAACTTGTTAAATTAAAAGTCGTGGCTCTGGTGCTCTTTAGAATCGGTGTCAATTGCGGCTCGATGCTTTTAAAGCACTCAATTAATACCCTCGGTGATATTAATTGATAGCCGGAAGGTTTAATTTGTGCATAAAACCTGTTTTGTTAAAGGAAAGTCCGCCCTATACGGGTGGATCATATCATATACACCTCCTGCAAAAACGAAGAAAAAACGAAAGAAATCGAGTCCATGTTATTCCTATTATTGCAGCTATGCATGTGAGAAAACAATGGATTTAACTCACAAATATTTCATCTCTAACAGTCACATAGCTTCATCACTCATTTGTTTTTGGACTACTTCTCCGAGTGGAATATTAGTCGAACTTACCTTGAAGATCATCTGAGCAGTGTAATTAGTTTGAATAGGATTAATATTACGTAAAACCTTCAACCAAACAGGGAAATTTATCTCCAACCGGTTCCATTTTTTATATGTATGATGAAAAAGGTTTAACCGCAACTTGATAAAAACTATTCAAATGAGTTCCCAACTCAAATTGGGTATGCGAAGTAAAACTTGTGAAAATATTTCATAAATTCAAACAAATTTGAGCGGTGCCGGAATCTATGTTGCCCAACCTTATTGCCCTTTTTAATTATATTATTCTTAAAATTAGTTACATAACAACTTATCTGTTTTTATATTTCTGCATTAACTGAAATTCACGAATTGTTTATTATTTAAGTATAATGCCCATTACTCCAACATAATACATTTTCTCAAACATTAACTATTTCGAAATCTTATCTAATACAAAATATTTCCTTCTTTTCATTTTTAGAAATCCCGTTGCTCAAAGTACCGATGCAGCGAGGGGTAAACAAGGTTTTCGTCAAGGACGTCACACCTGGGAAGTGATATGGGAGGGACCATTGGGCACGGTAGCTGTCGTCGGTATATCAACAAAAGAAGCAGCATTACAATGCCATGGTTATGTGGCCTTATTAGGATCGGACGATCAAAGTTGGGGTTGGAATTTAGTTGAAAATCATTTGCTACATAATGGAGATGTACAAGGCAGTTATCCGCTATTAAATAATGCACCCAAATATCAGGTGAGTTAACAAAACAGGAAGAAAACATTAAAAATGGAAATGTAAATGGCTGGGGAATGTTCTCTTCATAGATCTTGTTAAATACTAACTTAGGTAACAAAAAAGGGTTAAACAAGAATACCCGGAATCAGGGAGAACAAAATATGCAACAGCTGAGGAGCAAGTTATGTGTTAAGGTGTGGGCATAGTGGCAAGGCATATTAGTGTCAAATTATAAGAGAAAACGATGGCAGGATTCGAGTATGGATCTGGCATTCCTTTATGATATGTCACAAAATATGCCAGGCGAAAACTTCATGTTACTTATATCAATCTTAACCAAAGTTAGTAAAAAACTGGTCGAAGCTAAACGATTTTAGTTCAGGTATAACCAATAAAATAAAGAAAATCGAAAGGTGTCGCACTAATATGAACTAATGAGAAATATTTATTTTCGTAACTTTACATATATATACACAAATTTCTGCTTAAAGAGCTTTACATATTCAGATCAGTGAAATTGTAAATCTATATGACACCTGTAGCTTGCATCCTTGTGATGGTTTGTGGTATAATAAAGGCACTATAATAGTGCAGCCGCAAGATTTTTTATCCCTGAATGGAAAAAAGTCGTTTAATGGGGTTGGAACTAAGTTTGTTTCTTTTTTCTGGGACGAAATCGTCATGTGGGTTCTAAACATAAACGTGGACTGATTTCATATTTCAATTGCGACAAGATTTTTTATCCTTAAATGGAAAAAGTCGTTTAATGGGGTTGAAACTAAATTTTTCTATTTTCTGGGACGAAATCGTCATGTGGATGCTAAACATAAACGTGGATTAATTTCAGCAATGCAAACATTTTATATTCTTGTCTTTATCGGTGGCGTAGTTTCTCATTCAAAAAATGACAGGTGAGCAGCTACTTCATTTTAGGTCATTGGTCTATTTACCCCATTTATCGATGGAGGTTGATTTGGATGAGCTTTGGTTCTCTAGTGGACGAATTCTTAGAAGTTGCAAATACTGATGCTGACTCTATTATCTTCGTTGCATGAAAGTATATCCTTTTCTCTGATCTTATGGGTGGGCTTTTAGAGAGATTGCTTTGGCACGAATTATGGCCTTCAAACGGCCAATGAAACCGTCACATGCTGCCTTAATGTTGCTCTGCGACATTTTGACCCATTCCCGCGAAGCGGTGATCGACACGGTATTTTTTAGTGCCAACCTTGCTTTCCAAAATACTCCAGACACAATAGTCCAACGGACTGGTATCCGGAGATTTTGGTGGCCATTGTGCGCTGTAAATGAAGCGAGGAACCTCATTTTCTATCCATTCTTGGGTGGCGCATGCTGAGTGCGAAGGTGCTGAGTCCTGTTGAAATGTCCAAGGTCTGTGGCCAAAATGTTTGCGTGCCCAAGCCTTTAATACACTGTACATCTGTTGATACTAGGAGGATGTAGATACAATTTTTTCACGAAGGTCTAAACCTTTTTCAGTTGTAATTCGAATATTTTTTGGCTTTTATGCGTAGCATTTCATTTGTAATAGGAGAATTCCATTTTTTATTCGAATTGTAATTCGAAAATTCCAATCGTAATTCGAATTATTTCAGTTGAAATTCGAGAATTCCATTTGGAATTAGAATTATTTAACTTTTAATCCGGTTATTCCAATTGTAATTCCAATTTTTTGATTTGTATTTGGAATTATTCCAATTGTAAAGCGAATTATTCCAATTCTAATTCGAATATTTCCTTATGTAATTCGAATGATTTTATTTGTATTTCGAAATATTGCGTTTGTAATTCGAATTATTCCATTTGTAGTTCAAATTGTTCCATTTGTAATTCAAATTATTCTAATTTTCTCTTCGATTTTTAAATGAAACAAATTGAATTACAATTGAAATAATTCGAATCGCCATTGGAATTCTCGAATTTCAACTAAAATAATTCGAATTGCACTTGGAATTTTCAAATTACAAAATGTTTCAAATTACATCTGAAAAAGGTGTAGTACATAAAATACACAACTTAGCAATAGACGTTTTGGAAGCCAGCCTGGTTTTAATACAAATTTAATCAGTGTAGTTTTCACTACTTTACTTCGACATATTTCCCTGCAATTAATCTTCAACCATTGAAATGATTCGATACATTATCTTACAGTTTTTCTTTTGTTTTAGCCTTTAATTAATATTTTGTTCATGTTTTGTTTTTAATCCTCTAGGTGGGTGAAAGAATACGTGTAATATTAGACTGCGATGAAAACACATTATCGTTTGAAAAAAATTATGAATTTTTAGGCGTTGCATTTAGAGGTAAGTCCACGCTGTGATCCCTGTTTTCACATTCCATTTCACTGCATTTCTTCTCTCTTCCCTAGGACTACCGGGTAAAAAACTATACCCCACGGTATCAGCGGTTTATGGCAATACGGAGGTCTCTATGGTTTACCTAGGGCCACCATTAGATGGTTAAACATTATTGATTTTTTGTTTAGTTATTAAGTTTATAAAGCAATTTTTTAAACAAAAGTAAAAAAAAACAACAAACAAACATTCTATCTGAAAGAAAAAGAAATCCAACGGCAAAATTAAATAAAAATCCGACACAAGTTCCCAAGAAAAAAAAAAAAACTATACACAATTACAATTTAGGCATGCAAAAAAGACAAATTGGACAAGATCGGTTTTTGGGACACCCAAATCGCTAATTTTTCTCCCCTCTCTCCCTCCAACACAGAGTATACAGTGAAAAGAAAAACCCCCGACAAAAAAAAACAAAATTATTTTTAAGTGTATAATGAAAGGCCTTGTACTCGTCACTGTTATTTTTTTATATCACACACAGACACACACACAGACTCACCCATTTTTATATGATGAACTTGTCGTACTGATAACTTTATAAACAAAAAATTATAAAAAGAAAACAAAAAGGAAATAAAACATAAAAAAATCGTCCTTAGAGCATTCTCAAAACAATGTAATTGCAATATGTATTTAGTATATGAATAAGTTGTTTACCCTATTTCGTTTATCCAAGTGTAGATTTAATTCGTTTTGTATTGTTCATTTGTCGTTTGTGTGGTAAGAGAGGAAAAAAACAAACAAACAAACAAAACAAAGATGCTTTACTAAGTTATGTACGTATGTTATTCCAACTCCCACCCCTTACTTTTTCTTCTCCAGCTACCACTTCCACAAATGAATAGATTATGTTATGTTTAATTTGTTTAATCGCCTTGTCTTCGTTTTCCCCGTATTTTCTTCTATTATTGTGAAGGTGCTAGTCTTGCTTAAGTTGTATTTTTATTGAAACTAGTTTTCATTTGTAACGGAAATAATAAATAATTGTATAAAAGAAAAACAACCAACATAACACACACCCACATCAAGTTAGCCTGCAATAAAATAACAACAATTAATAATAATAAAACAAACTAATGCATTCAGTGTAATATAAGCGATTAATACAGACAAAAATAAAAAAAGATGAACACCCGACAGAATCTCGAAAAAAAACAACAACAAAATAATATGAATGGAAAAATGTATGAATTGTGTTTTATTTTTTTGTTTTGTATTTAGAATAAATATTAATTGTTTATGCGTTCACATCAAGACTGAACAAGTCATCATCCTCGTCATCGAATAGGTCATCAAAATCATTATAGAAATCGGCATGAACATGTTTTTCATTGCTGGCCAAATCCATGAGTATGGCAGAAGATCCACCGGACTGAAAGAGAGACAAAAAGAAAGGAACAAGATGAGAACTTAGTTATTTTTATTTATACGTTTTTCATTCTAAGTCAAAGTCATGGTACAATGAAATAAAAGTAACCTCATTTCAAATTACCATTGTCAAATTTAAATACATAAAAACAGTTCCCATCTCTGATTTTGTGTACATACAGGGTGAGATGAAAAAAAAACAAAGAGTTTTGCATAATGCGAAGGGCTTTCTCTTGGTACAAATAACTTCGTAACATTATTGTACAACTTAGATCCATGTCAGACTAATTATTAACACCCAACAACAACTTATGGGAAATGATGATCTTCGTTTCCCGGCGCCGAGTCTTAAACTCACAACTAATTGGTTATTCTGATTATATGCTCCCAAATTTTTGCGGGCGACGTCTCCGCTTTCTGAACAGGCCAACAATACTTAACCATAATTGTTCATTTGACTTGGATCTTCCCATTATCCGTTATAGTAGAAGGAGCTAGTTCTAAATATCGAGTTCCTTTTGGCGTTAAAGTAAAATGATTTAAAAAATTATCCTCTTTCAAATTCCGTTTGACGGGTGGAATTCTCTATCTGAGAGTCTTCACAGTTGTTGGCTAGTTCATAGCAACGATGAGGTAACTCTCTGTTCGAAGAAGATATAAAATCCACTTCGTAAGTTGGCGGAAGTAAGTTGTCGAAGACACGGAGGAAACATTTTCATGGATCAGAGACATAATTTTTTTTATTCTTTCCTCATTCTTAGACTTGTCGTCCGTCAAGCCAGACGTCGATATGGTTATTTTGGTTTCATTAATATTTAGATAAAAAAAATTATTCGTGTTGGAATTCAAGCGTGATAGTGCGATTTCTTTATATTTGGCTGGAAAACCGCAATTGGCTGTCGTTAGAGCACTCCAGCATTTAAATGTGAATAAATATGTCTAGTGTCTCGTACTATCGCTCGTTACCGTGATACTGGTAGCGTAGCCCGACGTCAAGGAAATGGATGGAAGAAGCACCCTCAGCAGAAATGGTTCGAAAAGTAAAGAATCGACTTGATCGAAACCCGCGTCGCAGTGGCTGAAAAATGCCTCGTGAGCTGAACATATCGCAAAATTCCAGTTGGCAAATATTGAAAATAAGCTCGTTGTAAAGCCATTGAAATTCCAAAAAGTGAAAGAACTTACACCGCAACCAACAGAAAATAGACTCAAAAGAGCCAAAGAGTTGCTTCGCTTGGCCGAAAGGTGTGAACTGTCGATTTTGGCTTTCTCCGATGAGAAAACATTCGTTGTCCAGCAGTTTGTAAACACACAAAATGATCGTGTTTACTTGCCAAAGAGGTCAGCTGAAAATGTGCACCTTCGGTTGGCCACCAGAACTCAAGTGCCGGCCATGGTGATGGTGTGGGCCCCCGTAACAGCCGATAGTCGCTCTCCGCTCGTATTAATCGACCGTGGCATCAGAATAAATGCCGAATATTATCACGAAAATATTCTGGAATGTGTATTAAAGCCTTGGGCACGCAAATATTTTGGCCTCAGACTTTGGACATTCTAACAGGACTCAGCACAATCGCACTCAGCACGCGCCACACAAGAATGGTTACAAAATGAGGTTCCTCGCTTCATTTCCAGCGAACAATGGCCATCAACATCTTCGGATACCAATCCGTTGGACTATTGTGTCTGTAGCATTTTGGAAATACAGGTTGGCACTAAAAAATACGAAAGTGTCGATCACCTCAAGCAAGCGCTTCGCCGGGAATGGGCCAAAATACCGCAGAGCAACATTCGGGCAGCGTGTGACGGTTTCATTGGCCGTTTGAAAGTCATAATACGTGCCAAAGGTGACCAATCCGAACCAATCTAAGTTTATTCCAAAATTTGATGCTGTTTCCGAATTTTTTTGCTTTCATTCAATTCAATTAAAAACAAAAAATGTAAAAATTATGGCGTTTGCCTTTGTTGTTTTTTTATCTCAGCCTGTAGATGTTTGAATGCATTGCTGTGTGCAAATTCTTCGCCAAATCTTGGTTTTGTAGACCGATTTATTTACCGGAGTTCAATGGAAATACCGTACAGATCCCACTCAGGGAAACGACGTTTTCAGGTCAACAGGTTGACAGAGGAGTATGACTACGGTCATCTAATGTATTGTATCATAGCAACAGGGCAATTGTTAAATCGTTCTAAAAGCCTGGTATATGGTTGCAGACTGACCGCAAGAGAATTATCGGTTCATTCTACGCTCATTTTGTCAAACACCCCAAAATAATAGGTACGACGTCTTACTGCATATTTTCCCACCGAGGCGGTATCATCATAGTTTACAATGGGTAATGTTATAAATGTCATGCCGAAGTCATATAAAGCTTTAGACCAAATATAAATTAATAAAATTCAAATCAGTTGCATGTGCCTCTCGACTCATACTCTACAGTTTAGACTACCCAACATTAGAGAAAGCTACTCAGTTGCACGGGTTCCATCAAAAACTTCACAACAACATTACATGCACGTTGACCCATATTAATTGAGGACTAAACCAATATGGGAAGCGCCATAGAACAGAGTTGCAGCATGTTGCATGACCGAGACATTTGATGCAGTGAATCACCTTAAACTATTTGTAAGATGTCGAAGAAAAAACTCAAAATTTGGGCGACATTTCTTCACTTTTCTAGACAACTCTAGAAGAAAATCAAACTGAATTCCGTAACTTCCCAACGGTAGATAGATCGATATGATAATGGCAAGAATAAGGCATTGGAACCTATCGTTGACGATATATGTGTTGGGTTAAACAATTTCCATCTCAAGATCACTGTATAACAAAAAAATATGAAAATGCACGCCACTAAACCATGCCTATACTTTTTATTACATGGACTGCACCACAAGATCCTAGTGGTTCGCATATTTATATAGGTTAGTTTTTGTCCAACTATTTTCAGAATTACGTAGCCCTCAAAAATTATTGAGATTGGCAGAATAAATACGTTCCATTACTGATACCCCAAAGCCGAAGTGCCTGCTGTTGGACATTCCAAAACTTAGTAGGTGATACACCGGATTTATCTGAGTGTGGGCCGCCTCGTCTATCGTTTTGAAGATTATAGCATTTGCAGAAATTTATATTTCCTAAGATATAATCCACCAAATATTCGTGATTACTTTGCATTATTTAAATGATTCTCAGACGTCCCAAAAAATGTAAAAATGCGATGTAGCTATCTGTTGATCCTTAGACAGACTACTTGCTTATGAAACTGGAAGGCCAAAGTTGCTTTCCCCCTCCTATTTCCGTGCAATATGTGTTATTTCAAGTTTGCATCCTATTCTTCGAAGGATCTTCATAATTTCTTGAGAATCAAACATTTATTACCTCTTCCATATCCATGTACCCGCCGCCTTCGGGAAACATTTCATCGGCAGCCAATGTTGGTTTCATTTCTTCGGTATTTGAATCCGTTTTTGATCAATATAAATCTATCAAACAATTTGCACAACCTCCTTACTCTGCGTTATCACTTGCAAAATCAGCGGACGCTAAAAGATGTAACCACAGTACTCGGAACGAAGGAATGTTTGCTTCTTTAAGGCGGAATGGCATCTCTGGCACATTGGAACGAAAAATAATGCATAAGAGATAAGGGAATACATATGCAGAACCAAAACAGAAGGGCCGATAACACTCAGGGATGTAAAGATCGAAACCACCGGTTGGTATGTCAGGGGTCTAAAGGTTCGAAAAAGGGAAATAAACCATTTGGTATAACTGCAATGCAAATTCAAATGATATCTCCCTAGCTCATAATTTATACAATATTTAATGACAAACAAAACACTTTTCAAAAATTTCAGCCTGTGTAAATTCTTATTAAAAGCTTTTGAGGAGAATAATTAATTTGCTATGAAGGTATGAAAAGGTATTGTATCATAGCATATCAGCGTTCCATTAATTTTTGCGATTTTTTGCCCAAAAATTGAACTTTGTGAGAAAAGTATCAAATAAACAAAACAAATTGTTCCACCTTTTTTAGTAAGTTTCAACACTCTAGCTAGTTGAAGTTTCAACACTCTAGCTTTAGGGTTGCGTTTTTCTTCATCAAATATAATCAATCTGCCCTACCTAGTAACATGGTACAATGAATACAAGGTAGGCTAACTTTGCAAAAATTACAAGTATAGAGGTCTACCTGTTTGGCTTGTGATATCAGAATTACTATCAAAACAATAAAAAAGCAAACAACTTGTTGCATTGATTTTGAATAAATTATTTAAAACCGCGAAAACTGAATGAAAGGTCAAAATTTCTTTTCAAAATCATTTTATATATATCTCTTATGGTTTATTTCGCGACAAGACTGTAGATTTTGTCGATGCATACGTCGCAATAAGCATTTTGAAAACACCAGAACATTTTTTTATTATTAAAAAGAATACACACATAAACAAATGAAGTTGACATATTAAGCCAGAAAAATAAAAAAAATATATATATAATCATATGGTAGTTCTGCCCTACCTTGAATACATTGTACCATGCCTATTAATTATTATTGCATTGTACAAAGGATACGACTTTTAAACTAAAACGAAACACTATTCTGCATAAAATATATACTGTACAATGCTATATAGTATATAAATACTATATTTATATAACACTCATGGCGTAATCAAGAAGGTAAAGTCATCCAAATATATGTTTAAATTTTTTTTTTCAAAATTATTCTTTTGACATCTCATTGTCAAAGTATGTATTTATAAACCCATTGAAAATACACAAATCAGAGATGGAAACCTAGTTTTTATTCAGTAAAATATGGCAAGTTAAATTATTACATCTTTCCGATAGATAAAAAAGTGATGTACAAGTCTCAATTTAAATAAAAACTGTCCGATAATCAAAAGGCCAGACCATCTTCCCCTTATCTTTTAACGTAAAGTTTACTGAATTCATGTTGCCATATTTTATATGGATAATATGACAATAACAGCAAAATATATTTAAATAAAGAAGTGGATAACGCAAATCATTTATTTAATATTGAAGAACTGAATTATAAATTTATTTCACGAAATTAATTACAAATTCGTTTTGTTTATTATTTTCAGCCTAAAATGAAGATGCCATTGTGAAAAATGCTGTGACTACCAGTAACTTTTACAAAAAGCTTGCCATATCTCTGTAAGAAATGCATAAACTTTAAAGGAAAGATGTAATAATGGGAACCCGATAATGTGAACTTCATCTTTCATTTTTCCTAAAGTAAGGGATAACAAAAGTGGACTATAAAGGGAAGATATAAGAACGGGCCTATGCTTATTTGAAATGAAAGCGTTTCCTATCAGATAAAGAGTTGTGTGAAGCGCCTTAAAGTATGTTATAAAAATGCTAAAAAAAGAATATAAAAGTTTTTTCTAATCGATTTTCCCCTTCTGATATCGACAAAAAAACTAGTAGATTCTTACGGGTACTGAAACAGAGCATATGTGCATACTAGCCTTAAGTTAAAAATGTAAAGGTGCAAGTACATAAAAAGCTTGAAGTCATGGCTAGGCATATTAATGTCAAATTATAATGGAAAACGACGTCAGGATTTTAGTGCGGCTCTGTAATCTCTTTATGAAATGTCACAAAATGTGTCTAGACATGACTTCAAGCTTTTTATCTACTTGCACTTTTACATTACAACTTAAGGCCTGTTCTTATATCTTTCCTCTATAGTCCACTTTAGTTATAGGAAAAGTAAAGGCTAAAGTTCACATTATAGGGATTTCATTATTTAATCTTTCCGTTAAAAAAAAAAATTACAGAAATATGGGAAGTTTTTTGTAAAAGTAATTGGTAGTCACTGCATTTTTCACAATGGCATCTTCATTTTAGTAGTAATAGACAAAACGCATTTATAATTAATTTCGTGAGTTAAGTCTATAATTAATTTCTTCAATGTAAAATAAACGATTTGAATATCCATTTTTTATTTTAATAAAGTTTGCTGTTATTGTCATATTATCAATATAAAATATGGCAACACGAATTCAGTGTACTTTACCATGGTGGAAAAATACAAGTAGTCGCATCGACGCAGCTGCTGGGACAATGAACTGTCATTCCCATTTTGGAATTGAAAATTTTAGAAGAAAAATTATTGAAATTTTGTAAAAATTTTTGAAAAATACATATCATAACAATCTCCGATTTGTGTCGTATCAGAAAAAAACATGTAAAAATCTACTTGTTTTGACAAAACATTAAAAATAATATACATCTACCTACATGATACTTTACGTTAAAAGATAAAGGGAAGAGGGTCTGACCTTTTGCTTATCGGAAAATGAAACTTGTAATAATGAAAAACGATTTATGTGTCCGACAACATAATTTTTTTATCTATCGGAAAGATGTAATAATCGGCTTAAAACGTTCACTCTTGCTTGGTTGCTTTTATGCTATGTTCTCATTGTACTTTCAATCATGTTGTTCACTCTCAGAACTATGTACACGAATTAACCCGTTCATACGGCACGATTCGTACTTCATACTAAAATAATTCCTTTTTTTCCAAAAATTTTCTTTGTTGATTTTAATGAGAATTTCTGCGAAAATATATGAAATTCTCACTAATATGAATAGAAAAAAATTGTTGTTTTTCTCCCAAAGATTTATTATATAATTAATTTTACAATTCTCATTTATGTTTTCAACATTTTGTGTAAATGTTGACATTTTGAACATATTTTAGTATTTTTAAATTCTGCTGGACAGTCACTTGTCAAACATTTATTCTGCCGATACAAACATTTTGAAAATATTGCCTCTTTTGTTTCCCGCTTTCTGTGGATATTTCATCTCGTGGACAAAATGCGTACCTCCGATGAGAGAGTAAACCAAATTTACTTTCCTTTGAATGTACATACGCCATTCAACATTGTAGTTTTCATTCATAATTTTCAGTCTTCCCAAAAAAAATTTAAAATTTCATTAAATTTTTCTGTTTTTAATTTTTAAATGTCATCATTAATTTTTTGATAATTTGTTAGGGATGGCACACATTTCGTCTTAGTTCTGAGAGTGATTTGAATGGAACAAAGAACAAAAAACTTTGTTCGCTCAGCAAATGTTGTGTGGGGAATTTAGTAGATGTTTCATAATTAATGATCGAACAAGAAATAGAGAGCGAATCACGTGCCATGTGAACTTAGCATTATGGTACAATATGGACATGGTAGAAGAATACAGGTAGATGCATCAACGCTTGGAAATATTGTTATGTCAAAAATGTTTAAATGTATTTTTAAATATGAGTATATTTGTATATATTTTCTTATATGACGTCATTCGGAGGTTATTATAATACGCGTTTTTGAACAATTTTTACAAATTTAAATAATTTTTCATTCAACATTTTCAATTCCAAATTCGATTCATTATCCCACCAACTGTGTCGATGCGTCTACCTATATTATTCTACCATGGATATGGAGGCATGGTAAAATTAAGAAGATATAGTATATGTTTAAAATTTTTTCAAAATTCATTTTTCAATATTCATTTGACATGATCAAAATCTATATATTTATACATCCATTGTATACAAAGAAATCAGAAATCGGTACCTGTCTTTTATTCAGTGAAATTTGCAAGAGATGGATAGTCTTATTTGAATAGACTTCACCTTCGTACATGTAAGGAGGTAACACATTTTTTAAATACTATTAAAACTTAACCCATGAGCACTCTCTGTCGGAATTTTTAAAATGACATGCAACAAGTGTTTGTCTTGATTCAAATTCGAGTTTACTGATGCATTTTTCATCGTTCTCTTTTGAACTTGCCTCTTGCGTTTATACAACGCCAAACTGCCTTTTCTGTAATAATTATTGATATTTGACCGTACGAGAATTTTTTCCATTCTTTCCATTCCCCTTACCTCTCTCCCCTACAAACAGAACATAACTTTCTTAATGAAAAGTCGGACTTTCTCTTCTACAGCGTAACCTAAAATACGACGTACTCAGTCGACGTTCTTCAACACCCAATTTTAACACATTTGCTTATATGCGAGCGTAGGAAATTTCGAAATTTCGAATTGAACAATTTCTATTTATTGTGTGTGTTGAAAATAGAAACAAATAATACAATGAGAGTGTTTTATAATTGGAAAATATAACAATTGAGAGAAATATTATTAAAATTATTAATGTTAATAACGTTATCTGCTGGTATATTTAAAGATATGTACCTGGCATTTTTGGGTAATATGGACGTACAAAACATTTCACCATAGTGGGGATGTTCGATATTTGTGTATGCTACGTTGAATTTTAGGTGAAATTCTCAAAATTTATTTATTTTTTTCCTTCATTGTCAAACATGGGTGTACAACAGGCAAAATACATATTTAAACGTTTTATAAGAATCTTCTACCAGTATTCTAGCAAAACAATATGCGATACTTGCCCTAGCTGCCGCAAAATGGTGCTGTGAAAGAAATATCCACCATTCCACAACCAAGCCTTACAAAAATCTATATTCATAAATCCATTGTATACACACAAAATCAGAGATGAGAACTGTTTTTTATGCATTTAAATTTGACAAGGTAA